CCTCTTGTTTACACCCCTCCTGGTGTTAATGCCCCTCCACTGTTAATATGTGTGTGTGTGTGTGTGTGTGTGTGATTGATCTGGCTGGAAGCGGCAGACACCCAGAGCAGCAGCAGCAGCAGCAGCAGCAGCAGCAGCAGCAGCAGTAATATTCCAGGCCTTTCATAATGATTAAAGCCTTCATTAAATTTTCATCCCGACCTGCTGTTTGCTGCTAATGGCCTTTCTGAGCCACACAGCCAAACAATAGCTAGCCTGGGCACAGAGAAGGGATTTCTATCTCGCGCTCAATACCACCCTTTGTCGTCACCCCTTCAACTCCCCCTCCGACCCCCCCCCTCTTCATTTCCCTCCACTTCTCTTCCATCGTTTCTCAGCTTTCCTTTTCTTCCTCTCCCGTCTTCTTCTTTCTTCCTTGAGGCACTGAGGCCTTTTGTTACTGTTTTTCATTTAGACATCGGGCAAATAATGCCTGGATCACAATGCCCGCCCCCCCCCCCCCCCACCCCCCACCCCTCTGTGAAGACTCAACACTCACACTTTATCTCCCTTCCTTCTCACTCCTCACTCTCCTCACCCATTGGTGCAGGAGCTCCAACAACATGAACTGGTCTACAGTTAGCATCAACAGTTAGCATCAACAGTTAGCATCAACAGTTAGCATCAACAGTTACTTTCCCTCTGCTCCAACAGTCGTTTCCACCGACTGGAGATTATCATGTCGTCATGTGATCAGTTCTGTCTTCATGACATCATCACTACTGACTTCAGGCGCCAACCTTAGCTTAGCGCCACCTAATGCTATCACTTTGAAGGACTCCAACGTTTAAAATATGAGAAATGAACGTTTGCGATTAAACTGCAAATACAAGGCATGGACCAAAGGTCAGAAAGGTCACACTCACAGCGTCAGGACACTACTGAAAATGTACTCTGATAAAGTTGTCAAATATTCGAGTATAAAACTCTGATAAAGTTGTCAAATATTCGAGTACAAAACAGAGAGACAGAGACAGAGACAGAGAGAGAGAGTTATGGAAGTGCAGAGACTAACAAGGAGAGGACAGAAGAATCTGCTCCAAGAGGCAAAAAGTTCAGACCAAACATTAGGCCGCAGCAGCGCCCTCTGCCGTCACTGACCTTCGGGCTCGTTTTTGATCAGCTCCTCCATCTTGCGCTGCTTCAGCGTGTCCACCACGTCCGCCAGGCTGCCCTTGCGTCTCTCCGGGGTTCCCACTGGGCCCGTGGCCGAGCAGCCGTCGCTGCAGGGCCGTCCGCCGCCTCCTCCCTCCTCTTTGCCCGGTGAGGTAGAATTGTGCTGTGGGTAAGGACTCAGGGAAGTCCCCTTAATCCCATCCTGGTCCTGAAAGAAGGAAAGCACAAATAAACCGGTCCATTATTGTATTTGTATCTCACTGGGGAAAGTACTCAGAAATACTGCAGTACAAGGGGAACTTTTGATAGTCGATGATATAAATCTGGCGTGGACCCACATCTCCGTCTCCACCTCTCCTCCCTACATCTCTCCTTCACTCAGATCTGACTTTCATCCTCAGCCAGTCATCTCGTATTCACGATACTTTTCTTCTTTTTTTTCCTCTATTTTTCCCCCGGAATCTGCATTTTTCACTGACTTGGAGGTGGTTGACAGAACAAACACATGAATCCACACCAAACGCTCGCCGCGTTCTTATAGTCCGGCCATCTCTGCGTTACAAAGCCTTCGACGGTGTCGCTTTGAGAAACCTCCAGAGTCAACGCGACGCAGAGGCTCAAGCTTGAGTTTAAGTTTTGTTCAACTTTAATCGACACATCTCACGATACAATTAGCACGAGGGAGGGGGGATTGACGACGTCGTAAACAGAAACAGAAGAATCAAAAGAGTCGTCGCTCAATGGAAGATCTGTCTCCAACACTGGGCTACGGCGGTGTTTTCAAAACTTTATTTTTTCTTGCAGTGGCCCCTGTTTTGTAGATAGGGGGCGCTGTAGAAGGCTATTGCTTCAAAACTCCGCTGAACATAAAAACAGATATTTCCACTGTGAAAAAAAGGAAATAAAATTATTCCTACGTGAACCTTTCCCACTGCGGCATAAATAACCAACCGCGACCCCTTCTGCAAAACCTCTGTACCTCCGTGGGGCCTAGACCCCCCACTTTGTGAACCATATATGTTAAAGAACTGTTTTGTACATCAGAAAGAGGCCATATTTACACCTGTAAAGTTCTTTTACCGCTGGTGCTCTCAGCGACCAAATCATTTCAGATATTTTCTGCCGTTGTTCGTCGTAGATTAAAGAACTCAAGGCGACGGAGAAACGAAAAAACACAAAGACGTGAAACGAGACAGGAGTCGAGTTTAGATCAGCGCCGAGCGTCTTAATCCCTGACCCACTGAACCTTTGTGTGTTTGGACACCCGGCATGATAGACGTTAATGCCGACGCAGTCCAATTAACACTGACAAAGACGGAGGACGGAGGACGGAGGACGGCGCCGAGACTGAGCCGCACAAACACGTGTTCCGCCTTTGTCACATATACTTGTACCGCTGAGTGATGAGGACTTGAAGGCACACAACTATGTATGTGTGTGTGTGTTTGTGTGTGTGTGTGTGTGTGTCAGTCAGCCGTCGGTCTGTCAGCTCAGCTCTTTTAGGCGTCGGGGTCAATGGTCCACGCCGTTTATCTTTGGCTAATCCGACCACAGTGTGTTGTGTCCTTGAACAGCGACACACACATACTGTACACACACCACCCTGTGTGTGTGTGTGTGAGTGTATGTGTGTGTGTGTGTGTTAGAGAGATAGAGACAGACACGAGGACACTGCTGGATTCCAGCAGTCGTGAAGTGACAGCAGATCACGGCGGAGATCTCGCTCTAATGATTAACTGACGGCTGCCGGTGGAAGAACTTCAGCCCGAGGTCACAGTCCACGGTGAAGTCATCTGGAGCCACATGACTGCAGCTTCTATTGTTTCTGGTGTGTGTGTGTGAGACAAAAACATTTTAATCTGGTTTAAAAAAACAAAAACAAATCATTAATCTGTGTCTGAGTGAGATTAATGTCGGGAAGAAACCGATAATCTCTAGGAGTGTGTGACGATACGAAACATGAGGCAACGATACGATATATTGAGTGGGTTTTCCCCCCCCCCAGTGTAGCTGTAGTCCCAGTGTGATCCTAGTCTGAGACTCTGTTCCATCTGAACATCAGTTCCTAACTCTGGAACAGAGGGATCTACATTTGGAATCACTAGAGAAGAAAGAAAAGAAAAAGAAAATGAACCAACACCAGGAATATTGGACTGGGAATTGGTGAGAGAAAAAAGTTCTGATAATATCAATACTGTATCGAGAAACAAAATATCGCGATACTTCAATGTATTCATATTTTTCTCACACCGCTGTTAGTCTTTTTAGACAGGCGACTCGAGGTGACTGCACTTCACAGACAGTGACATAGTGGCCGGAGCAGGTACTGCATCATAATGTTTCATTGTCGAGTGTCCACTGCAATTTTGTTTTCAATATTTTTTTTTTTTTACTGATTGTAGTTTAACGTCCACCGACCAACATCCTCAAAGGACATGACATCACAGGAAGTAAACGTGTACGCTGCACGTCCTTTTACCCTCCGTTCTCCAAAAAAAAAAACCCGAGCGTATTTGAAGCGCCCGTGTTTACATTACGAGTCGCATCAGCTTTGGCAGGAAGTGAGAGTCACATGTGACAAAGGAGAGACGTGGAAGTGATGGTTTGAAAGGAAGGACGAGAGAGAATGAGTTGAAAGAGATACAGCAATAGAGAGAGAGAGGGAGAGGGAGGGAGGAGAAGGCAGGCATCTTGAAGGCAGCGGTCACACCTGTCACATCCCATTTATCTAATCCAGCGCCTACTTAAAACAACCGCACTCTCTTTCGGAGAGGATGTCGGAAAACAAACAGAGAATGGGGAGAGAGAGAGAGAGAGAAAGAGAGAGAGAGAGAGGCGAGGGGCGGGGGGGGTTGTAGTCAGAGGGTGGGAGTATATGTTTTTTTTTTTTTTTCTCTCTTATGTCAAAAAGCTGCCATGGCGATGTCATCACGACTCATCCGACAATGAAGGTCATTGGACGGGAATTAACATGGAGGTTGGTTCAAGACGTGGTTCATTAGGACGCGTGGCGTTATTAACGCACAAAGTCAGGACCGGGCGGCTTCACCGCCACGGTCGGAACTGATGATCACGAGTCAAGGACGGCGTTCGGTCGACGTTCGCCGGTCAACGTGTTTGGTTCAGGTTTTTTTTTTTTTTTTTTTGCAGGAACTAAGACTGAATTAAAAAAAAAAAAAAAACCCGACCAAACTTTTCCTCATCTCCATGCATTTATTCATAAGTACAAACACAAATTACGACGACTGTAAACGTTTATGCCCCGTTCGCCCCGGGCAGGTCTCTGCCAGTGGTGTTAGTGTGTACGTGTTAGACTGTGAGTGCATAAAGCTTGTAGGTGTGTGTGTGTGTGTGTGCGTGCGTGCGCTGGAATGTGTGGAGCGCCGGCGTGCGTGTATTTCTATGCGGTGGATGTGGCAGGCTGGCGGTGTAGGCGGTTCTGCATTTAGTTTGCAGATGTCAATTCTCTTCCAAACGACTGGAACAAAGTGAAAAGTGCGGCTCACTCTCTTCATCCGTTTACTGCCTCTGCAATGGAACCGAATTAAACAACTTTTGTCTTCTTAAGCTCATCTGTTGTGCGATGTTGGTTTAAAAACACTTAACTCCTGCCAGAGAGCGGGAGAGAGGAGGGAGGGAGGGAGGGGAGGGAGGGAAGGGGAGGTGGGGATCGAACAGCGTTTTTTTTTTTTTTTTTTTTACCCAACTGCCAGCACAGATGCCACTGTTCATGTTTTTTTCTTCCATCTTCTTCCCAACTTCTCCAACTCCCTCCTTCCCTCTGTGTCGTCCGTCTTCACAAGGTTCAGTCAAAAGATTCTAAGACGAATTTAACTTCTTTTTTTATTATTATTATTATTAAAACAACAAAGTTGTTTTTCTACAAATCCTGTCAGAAAATGTCTTTTTTTTTTTTTTTTTGTTGAATTGTCGGGACGTCATTCACACCCGGTCACGAACTGCGTCTTTGCCAAAACATTTCCTGTTTTTTTTGTCCGCTGCTTTTGACAGGCCGGCGTGTGTTGATTCATTAGTGAATCACTGGCAGGAAAAATTAAGTGTGACCAGTGTGTCTGAAGACACTGTCACACACACACACACACACACACACACACATACACACACATCAACACGATATCTGACAAAGAGCAAAAGAGAAGAAGAAATAAACGGTCATAATTTTCACGTTAATGTTGGTCGTGTCTAACGTCATAATTACTAACTGTCCATTCACACATTGGTTAAAGCAGCTGCTCGCCTCGGCCTGAGGGGAAAACGTTTTCGCAGGACAGCGCTAAAACGCAAAGATCGTAGATCTAAAGAAAAGTTAAAGAAAAACAAGAAAAGTTTTTTAATGAATTCAGTCGTCGTTGTTTCCTCGTTGACAAAGTCAAACGTTCCGTTCCGCTGAGTGCAGGTGCGCCGTGATTGGTTGCGTCGCGCTGAATGGCTGACCTCGCCAAATTGCCGCTAGTCCGTCAGATGTTTGAACTGACCTGCTCTGGGCCAATCAGAGACCAGCTGCAGGGGGAGGACGTCACGGTCGGCCTCTCGTCTAAACCACAGTCATTTACAAAACAAACCGAAAAGATTCAGGAAGTGAACGGTGGACGGATCGGTCGGTGACGGCCGTGTTTGAGCCGCGCGTCGGCAGCTAGCGCAGGTGAGCGCCGCAGCTGTCCTTAAGCCGAGCAGGCGAGGCGAGGCGAGGCGGGATGAAGAGGTCAGTGTGTAACAGAGCACTTCTCCTCCGCTGTGGTAATCTACTACGACAAGATAAAGCTGTAATCTCACCCCTCCTCCCCCCCCCCGGCCCTGTCCTCACCCTCCTCCCTCACTTCCAAGTCAACTTGGTCGCCAACGAGGCGTTCACTTCCCTTTATCACTTCACGACAATTGTCCTGGCACAGTGACGGGGGG